TTATTATGATCTAATTTTATGATTTGCATTCTGCGAACTATTTTGAGGTTAGTTTTAAGGTATAAGATGAGTGAGTTTTAAGGTATGAGTTACCTATTTTAGTTATTTATTACTTTAGTTATTATGTATTATTATTTTTATTATTATTCCTAACATTAGCAGTGACATCAACATCTGGGTTATTATGATTCAAAAATGCAAAGAGAAACAAATGGAGAAGGAAAAAGAACGGCAAAGAGAAAAAACTGTGGGTAACGTGGACATATAACTACCTATAACTGGTGGTATTTCAAAAATAATAATTATGTTTTTATAGTAAAAAGAAGCATTCGAAAAAATAACTTCAATAATACATTTTATTATATGTATATATTGTTGTCGTTGTTGCTATTCTGAACTACTAAAAAAATGAAAAACCAAAAACCTGTTTGTTCCCTCGACACCAGTTGCGAATGCAAAACATATTACAAATGTAAAGAAACGTTTAACAATTAAGACACAATAACACGCCGAATAAATACTAATTCAGAAGTCAAACAACAAAAATCAGCGTTAATTTACAAAATTTTCACAGGACTAGTTTCGATGGTTTTACCGAACCATCATCTTCAGCTGCAAAACCGCAAATGAACAAGATAGGAAATAATGTTTAGATAAGATAAGAAAGCCTGGACAAGAATAAGCAAGTGGCGCCATCTGTTGGCGAAACCAGAACTAAAACATAATTTCTCTAAAAGCCGAAGGCAAATTTGGATTGGAATTAGGATCGTTAACTAGAACAGAAAGATTTTTATGAATGTGAAATGCCTCTAGAAAATCCAGTTCTCCAATGGAAGATGTTTTTTGAATAATTTTGGCAGCAGAAAAATTGAAAGTGTGATTTTCGGACCAACAATGTTGAGCAACAGAAGACTTCTGTGTTTCCTTTTTTCTAACATATGCCTCATGTTCTTTGACGCGAAATTTTAAGGCTCTCTTAGTTTGGCCAATGTAAATTAAACCGCACTGGCAAGGAATCCTATAAATACCCCAGGAATTCATATCCGGAATGGGGTCCTTGAGTATAGAAGTTGGAATTGTATTGATGGGACAGTAAACAACCCGAAAGTTAAATTTCTGCAAAATATGTGCAAATTTATAGCTAATTGATGGAAAGAAGGGAATGACAACAGAATTTTTTATAATCTCCTAAAATAAGAGTGTGGCTTTTAATGTGTTGAGATGAGAATTTTTTAACTGCTTGATTAATAATGTTGGGTGAAAAGCCCCTGTCAATAGCTATTGCTTTTAAATAATTTAGTTCTTCATCAAGGGCTAGTTTTGGAGGACTAAACTCTTAAACGATGGACCATATAATCCGATCCCTAAAGATCCTTCACCTTCGGACTTATCCAAAATAAAAACTGCGATCAAATCTTCGCAAATCATTTCAAGCAACTTAAAACATTCGCTTATCCCATCTGTTGCGAATTGTGCCAGATTATATGCTCTTCCCAAAATTCATAAAAGTGGTATTCCTTTCCGCCCTATTGTATCAAATTTAGGTACTGCCTCGTATCCATTAGCTAAATATTTAGTTTCTAGATTTTCCACTCTATTAGACAATAACATTTACACCATAAAAAATTCAATAGAGTTTGTAAAAAAGGTTTAAAAACATTTCTCCTCGTAATTTACTCATGGTTTCTTTTGATGTAAAATCATTATTCACCAATGTCCCAGTGGAGGGTGCATTAAGATGTCTAGAAACCAGACTTCGCGAATTTCATTTCTCTTGCATCGAAATTGATGAGCTAATTTCTCTCACTCAACTCTGTTTGAAACAAACACATTTTGTTTTCCAAAATAAATATTACAAGCAAACTGAGGGATTAGCCATGGGAAGCCCCCTCAGTCCCATCCTGGCTGATATCTACATGCATTACTATGAATCAAAATTGTTTGAAACTTTAAACTTCCCGGCATGGTTCCGCTACGTAGACGATACTTTTACCTTGTTTGAAGGTAATAAAGATGATTTAAATAGAGTTCTTTCAACAATGAATTCTATTGATCCTGCTATTCAGTTCACTTTTGAACTTGAGACTTGCAATTCTCTTCCGTTTCTCGACATTCTGGTCACACGTAACACATCCAACTTCAGTACTACAGTTTACCGTAAACCTTCATCGGTTTGCCTTCCACCACACTTTAAATCATGTCATCCGACTAAACAAAAGTTAGCTTCATTTTATTCCTATGTTTTCCGTGCTCTTCAAGTTTGCTCCTCCAAACTAGCCCTTGATGAAGAACTAAATTATTTAAAAGCAATAGCTATTGACAGGGGCTTTTCACCCAACATTATTAATCAAGCAGTTAAAAAATTCTCATCTCAACACACTAAAAGCCCCACTCTTATTTTAGGAGATTATAAAAATTCTGTTGTCATTCCCTTCTTTCCATCAATTAGCTATAAAGTTGCACATATTTTGCAGAAAAATTTAACTTTCGGGTTGTTTACTCTCCCATCAATAAAATTCCAACTTCTATACTCAAGGACCCCATTCCGGATATGAATTCCTGGGGTATTTATAGGATTCCTTGCCAGTGCGGTTTAATTTACATTGGCCAAACTAAGAGAGCCTTAAAATTTCGCGTCAAAGAACATGAGGCATATGTTAGAAAAAAGGAAACACAGAAGTCTTCTGTTGCTCAACATTGTTGGTCCGAAAATCACACTTTCAATTTTTCTGCTGCCAAAATTATTCAAAAAAACATCTTCCATTGGAGAACTGGATTTTCTAGAGGCATTTCACATTCATAAAAATCTTTCTGTTCTAGTTAACGATCCTAATTCCAATCCAAATTTGCCTTCGGCTTTTAGAGAAATTATGTTTTAGTTCTGGTTTCGCCAACAGATGGCGCCACTTGCTTATTCTTGTCCAGGCTTTCTTATCTTATCTAAACATTATTTCCTATCTTGTTCATTTGCGGTTTTGCAGCTGAAGATGATGGTTCGGTAAAACCATCGAAACTAGTCCTGTGAAAATTTTGTAAATTAACGCTGATTTTTGTTGTTTGACTTCTGAATTAAACGTTTAACAATATGCATATGTACGTAATAAAATGGAAATTAATTCACATTACGGTATTAAACCTCTACAGATGCTCTCAGCTGCTCAATGTTTACTTTTGCAAGTAGTGATTTCGAAAATGAGAGTAATCAAAAACAGTCTGAGAGAGATCACTGAGTATTCAAAAACGTTTAGTTCTCTCTGTGCGCTCGACAAGAGAACAAACAATATTAACACATCAAAAATATTATTCGAGACATATCACTCTGGACTGAAAACGAGAGTTGAACGTTGTACAGGACACAGATACGTTGTTGAACATTTTATTTTAAAGTATTATTCAATTCGTTAGAAAATTGGGGTTTACTAATTTTAATAACAATTCAGAAATGTACTTTTGGCCAGAGTGCTACACAAGTGACAAACGATGCTGCCAAGAGGACAAACAAACAAAAAACAAACTACGATGAAGGATGCAGATGTAAAACTTTGAAGCCGTTGGCCATATATTATGAAAACCTCTCTGTTTCTTGAAAATATATTTTTTGTTCAATGAAACCATAGTTGAACGGAGCTGTCCTAAAAGACTATTACAATATTATAAATAAAATGAAAGTTTTCGTTGCGATGAAACAATATTACTTTACCTTGAATATCTTGAAAATACAGAGGCTTTTAAAGAAAAATGTTGTAGAAGGAGAAAGTAATTAATTATTTATTGCACGGTGGAATAAAGACTAAATTATTTCTCTATTTAAGTATCTAACTACGAAAAATATCTGTACTTCAGCTATTCATTACATAATTGAAGATCGTGGATAAGATCAGAAATTTTTTAACATTGGCTAAAAACATAACGACGAAACATTTTTCGATATAAATAGAAACCTTTTATTATATATAAATAGATACCGATATAAATAGAAACCTTTTTATATAAATAGAAACCTTTTATTGGTTATTAACTATTACGCTCTTTGCCAGTACTAAGAACACCTCTTCGTAATCGAACATTATTTTTGTCAGCAAAAGCATCATCTCTATTTCATTTACTGAAATATAATAAGTTCCGTGAAAGAGGAGGGAAGGAAACGAATAGCACAAAACGTTACAAACGGGAGATTCTGTCCAATATTTTGCTATAGAAATCCATATTAGAACTTGCTTTCTAAATGCACATTTTTTTACATGGAGATGCAGAAGTGGTTGACGTTTTTAGTGAATTAAAATTTAGAATTATCGTATCTATCTGCTGTAGAAACTATCTGAGAACACATAATGATCTCACTTCTGCACTGATAGTAAATGAAGAAACTATTTAAGCATGATACAGTCTCTTAAATGTGTAAATAATTCTTAATCAAGGAGAAAGCCTAGAAGATGAACTACCTAGAACATTCTGCAAAAGACTTAAGACTTTACAGTAGTGGAAACAATTAAGTCATATCTAAGATACACGTAATTTCTCTGAGTTTAAAATAGTACAGAATCTGCTTCGAAATACTTCTACAGAACTGACGATAGCTCACATTCAGCGCAAAGTATTTAAACAAAATACAATTTAGAACATTTTAAGCTAGTTTAAAAACATTCTTTACCTCTCTGTCTGTATATTACAAAAAAGTTTAACGTATTTATGCTCACTAATGAAGTACAATTAATTATTTTACTTAACATGATAGAAAAAGGCTGTAGATTATTTACATAAAAGTAGAAAATCAAAAGTAAACTATGCTTTTGTACTTTAAGAACTGAACCAATGAATAGTGTTTTCTCTAAAAATTTCATGCCGTATAGATATTCAGCACCAACATAACTCAGCGTAAATTTCTTACTTTATGCTTTGTCGAATTATCAAGTCTCATTCTCTACACATTTATTCCTAACTAAATATAATTAAGTAAAGCTGATATAGTTTGATTACTAGACACAAGCAATAAAACTTACTTCGATATTATAAGTTATATCAACGCCATACTATAGGTGACTATGCTTTAAAGGGAAAATTCCAATGTTGCAATTTCAGAATATAAGGAAGTTCTGAGATTTAAGCAAAAGGAGAGTAAATACCTCTTCAAAGGAATTTAATCATATGTTTAACGCTAACAGGTGCTCAGAGAAATTAAAGCAAAAATTAGACTTAACGACAATGGGAACAGATGTCAACTATCTCGTGCATTTATTCCGTTGACATCTACAGCAGATAACGGCTGATTATGTATTCATTCCAATTATACTTTATCTCTTTAAACATTGCACCGGTGACAGAATTAGGATGAACAGAAGTAAAAGGCGGAAGTGCTTCTGAAATTTACTAGTTAATAAAACTATAAAAATTATATGCGCTGTCTTTATTTTTTCTGTAAAGTAAAATTTTATCTTGAGTAATTACAATTACTAATTACATTTTTGGCAGCTATAAACATCAGTATTCTCCATTTTCTGAATTTTTCTTTAGATTATTTCCCGCTTTGGAGAAAAGTGATGTCAAAAATGGTGTCAATATTCGTTTTTACAAAAAAAAAAAAAAAAAAAAAAAAAAAAAAAAAAAGAAAAAAAAAAAAAAAAAAAAGAAAAAGAAAAAAAGAAAAAGAAAAAAGAAAAGAAAGAAAGAAAAGAGGAGGAGGAGAGAGAAAGAGAAAGCTAAAATATTGTTTAAAATTTTTTATGCATCGATTATAGAAATCTTTAATTACGAGGAAGAGCTATGAATTTGAACACATAACTTTACAGCATATTTTGGTAAATTTGGTAGCATGTTTTTGGTGTCCATGAAGAACTCGATGATAAAAGAAAGTCACCGGGACTGGCTTTCACCCTAAGTGCCAGAAATACGAAATTTCATAGTACTAAATACGATATAGTCAGGATATCTATATCTGGTGGTCAACATAAAACTATAGTTCCCTTAATTATGAAACATAAAAATGTTATGTGCATAGCAATGCACACATAATCAGATAATTATGATTAGTTGCACAACTTAGAATATTATGCATACAATGTATAAGAACAGTAATATGCATACATATCACTGCTCTTACCACGCTGTTAAACAGGATGACTGTATTACGCATTATTGCTGAGATGCACAAACTACGAGACATTTTCATAAAATACAATATATACGAGTAGTATGTATCAATGCATACACACATTTAATACTAAGCCATACTATTACGCATAGAACATATAAAATTTGGAAAACAGTCGAGCATTGCATGTAAATTAAGTATGTATGTACATATATTATAGAGCTCACGTTGCTAGCTCAAAAGCTTTAGATCATACCATTTACTGCTTTTATGCACGGATATCTTATACATATCTCTAGATATCACAATTGATATAGGCATGCTCAATTTTATATATATACATAATTCTAGTTACGTACTGAGGCATGTGTACTTAATTTTACAATGAATACACACTTCTAAACAATTCATACCATGCAATGACCTCAGCAATGTATATTTATTACAATAGCATAATATGCAGTATGATATTATTATATGTAAAAGTCTCTATATTGCATCGTATTGGGCAGTGAAAATTATTGACGAATGTTTAGCTCTACATTATGTACTCATTTCAAGATTTTTTTACAATTTATGCATTTTAATGCATAGGTTTAGCATGTATGCATTAATTACATTATGTACTCATTTCAAGATTTTTTTACAATGCATGCATTTTAATGCATAGGTTTAGCATGTATGCATTAAAATGTATAACGTACCGTAAATGCATTAAAATGTATAACGCATAATGTATGTATTAACGTAATGCATAAAATGTATACCGTAATGCATTAAAAGGCATAACATATAACGTAACGATAACATGTATAACGTATCAGAATTTTGACGCAGACCAAAACATGTATAAGGAATTTTCTCCCTCTTTCCAGTATGCCTTCACGGTGTAGAGGTAGCACTCTTGGCGCGTATTCAAGAGGTCTACATTCGAGTCCGGGCTAGGGCATTGCAAATTTTTCACGTTTTCTGTTTTAAAAAAGCTAATGTTTAAGCTAAAGTTTTCTGTTTTAAAAAAGCCTCTCTGTCCTCCTCTACACATGTCATTATAAAATGATGAAGAATCACAAGTAACTGCATTACATTTAGATAACTTATGCTTGAGTGCACAATATATGTAACTATTTCTAAATCCCAACTTATATTATATATATAGTCATATGTATTGATCATGATATAGTTGCGTTTTGGGACGTATGCATAAGTACATTTAGCAGACACTTTGTGATGTCATTTCTAGTTATTTATCTAATTTCTACTAATCTTAATACTATAAAACAGATACTTGCTTTCGAAGTTTGATTATGATATATGATATAATTATCCAGCACATTAGGTATGTGTGTAGAAAATATTTGATTGCAACGTAATCGAAGTTTCTGTTAATCTTATCTCTTCTAATTGATAACGAGAACTGGTTAACTCTGAACAAGAAATTTTCACAGGAAACTATCGTTATCACTTGAAGAGTACGGGTTTTTAGTTATATACGTAAGAGATGCGCCGGGTATAAAATGTGACAAATGCTTTGTAGGTTAGCCTTATGAAAGTCACACGAAAATAGGTACAACAAATTTACCATCAGATATTTTTGAAATATTTAAAATTCTCAGACAAAAGTTTTCACATAATCATGAATTTGTTTAATTTCAATCTGCGTGTTTTCGTTTCATTACATTCTATATGCTGTATGATGCAATATTTTAACTAGTTAATCGAAATAGAATTTTAAAATATTTCTCTAAAATTAGTCATTGAATAGTTTACTAAAAAATTACAAAGAAACAGTAGATGAAATTACAAATAAAGAGTAAAAAAAATCACTAAAATATGTACTAATTGAATCTGATGTATAAACTAAGTGAAGGATATAAAACTGTAGAATAGATTGTGGATGAAATCGGAAATCAAGAGTATCTTTACGGCAATGAGTATTTCAGAGTTGAAGAAATAAAAAGAAATGACACTACTTTATTGATTGAAACAGTTTCCAGAGTAATTTTTTTTTTTTTTTTTTTTTTTTTTTTTTTTTTTTTTTTAATATCAATAAACTTCCATAGCTACTAAGTGCTAAATAGACATCAAAAGTAATCCCTTTGCGTATCACATACAGCTATCTGACTCTTGCGTATAACCATGAGGCTGACCAGTTCTTTTTCAGCTAAATGTCACCAGATAATTATCTTGGCAAATTCAAATTATATGTTTCCCTTAAGTTGGAAATAATAAATCCAAGCATGAGTTTTATGTTGACTCATGCTTGAGCACGCCACACCAATCAAAGCACGCCACACAAGGGATAATTATGTGAGTCTAAAGCAGTTGTTGGTAGAACTGAAGTGCAGGATCAAGAAAGCTATGTCAGTGACAGTGGACCTGATCTGCAAAATTTTAGAATGAATTCACCAGACTTAAATGTATTCTCTCTTTACAATGAATGAATATAACAGCATCGCTTTTGAAGAGAATCCACTGTGGCTCTAGCACTAAAATGTGACGGACAGTGAATCAACATCACCTGGGTTTGGACGACTGGGTCTCGTATATTCCCCCCTTGCTCTTTAGGCGGAAGGGAATATAAGGAATCATCGCATACGTCCATGTGAGTTCTCGGGATGTAAATGGTTAGCACATCCAGCTAGTAACCAGTTAGCAGGATACGTGATTCAAATCACGGGTAGAATTCTCGTTTCCTGTTTCAAATGTCTAACAAACAGTATTAGATGGCATCTGTTACAAAGCGAGCCTATTTTTCCGATTAGATTTTAGTTATAATCAAACTTTTCAAAATACATATCGTTCTAATGTAGAAAAAAATCAGTTTCAGTACTGTTTTGATATTTAAATCCATTGACTTTCATCCGCAAATTAATTGTTTTTCAAAATGGGAAAGAAATCATCAAAATTCTTTAAACCTTTTTAATCTTCAACAGATGGAAGGTGTGCCTTTCAGAAATGTGATTTTGCTTTTTATTAGCAAGTAACAGCTCTAAAGTTTTTGTGAGGATGAGACTTATGCACAAAAGCTATTAGTATGGAGCCCCAGCTGCCAATGCGTATAGTAACAATTTCAGCCTTCCTAAATATTAGGCCTAAGTTTAAAAAAACTGCTTGTCGTGCAAGTAAAAACTCAATAGTCACAGTGCACAGTATAGTATAGAATAGATAAAACTTTAGTAGTACTACTCGAAACACGTTGTCTAGTGCTGCCATCTATCGTTTTCGTCAAAATTTAAAATGTAAAGCATGTATTTAATTTAATAAACTATAATTTATTAAATTAAATACAAAAATTATTAAATATTGTATTTAATTTAATTAATTAAATAATTTATTAAATTAAATACAATATTTATATACAATATTTTATACAATAATACAATATTTGATAATAATTATTGTATTTAAACAATTAAATTTATTAAATTAAATATATGCTTTACACAATTTAATTAAATAATAAGATATATTTAATTAAATTGTGTAAACTGTTTCGTTTGTAAAGTGAAATCTCGGTTCACAGATTTAATTCGTTCCTAAAGGCTGTTCGTCATTTGAAATGTTCATAAATCCAGGACCGGCTCCAGAATATGTGTAACCAGTGCGATTGCACTGCGCGGCGGTAGTCGGGGGCGGCAAATTCTTTTTTTTTTTTTTTTTTAAATTTAGAAAGGAACCGAGCAGAAGAATTTTGGATTTAGTTTGCACCGGGCAGCAAAAAGTTTAGTTTACACCGGACGGCCCTGCATAAATCAAAACCATTTTCTCCATACGAATTAATATAAGATAGATCAATTCATTTTAGGATCACAGATGATTGCTTGTTTAAACTTTATTATTTTGTGTACATGTTCAAAAAACAAAGCCAATAGAAATTATTAAATTTAAGATCGCCCTCTTCCCCCCCCCAAAAGAATTAAATACAAGTGAAACAGAAGGAAACATAACTTTATTATACCTAATATGAAAAGGAGTGAAAATCTTAAGTGTAAAGTAATGAGAAAGTGCAGATTTGTTATTGTTTGAATGAGGAAGCCCTTTCCATAGAAACATCGCGTAACTATCTTTCTGAGATATCTTTTTTCATCTACCGTTTGTCTCATAGCGCCATTAG